GAGAGAGAGAGAGAGAGAGAGAGAGAGAGAGAGAGAGAGAGAGAGAGAGAGAGAGCGTAGAGGGTGAGAGATGACGGAGGGAGGGAACTCAGGGAAAAGCTGCGAGAAGAACGGCAACGGGCGCGCGGAGAGACATACGTGGCACGAGGGGTTGGGCCGGCGCGAGGGTGCGGGTTGCATTACCACCACGCAGGAGCCGTATTTATCACTCTGACATTTCCAAATGTCGCGCGGTTTATCAGGTGTTCCCCGGTGGAAACCTTAAGGTACCTTCGCACGAACTCGCCATCCACCGGCGCGGTACGGCGCGCCCGTGAGAAAGTACGAACACGTGCGTGCATCGCATCGGTTACGTCATTAAATTTACATAATAAGACGCCGCACGGTGGCCGGACGCCACGTCGCAGTCATGGAGTTTCGTGGTTGCGCTCGTCGTCCTGTTGTCGTCGTCCTTGCTGTTGCCCGTAGTCGGGGGGTTGCTGGTACGCTTGGCGACGCGCAGCTGCCGCGATCGCCGATAATTGAATGGAACGGGTTTAGTTAGCGCCTCTCGGACGAGTCGCCGTGACAAAAATCTCGAATCGAAAATCTCCTCCTCCGCCGTGTGCGCGCTACCACGCCACATTTCATTCGATCTCTCTTCGAGGCTGATCGATCCAGGTGCGAGCGCGATGTCGAAACGCGGAGCGTTGTAGACTCGTCTCGTGCGGGCGTTTCTGTTTTGTCGCACGGTTCTCAAAAAAAACGATAAGCTTTATTTCTCTTCTTTAGTATCTTCTTTTCTGAGAGAAAATGTCGAAACGAAATGGAATCTCCATTGTCGCAACTGTCATCGATAGGAGAGCACAATTTTCGAAAAAGTCATCTATAATTTCTTTCACATATGTTAATTCCTCCACTGCGTGAAATGTGCGCGGAATTAAAAGCGCAAATTTGTGAAACCGTTTTTGTCGAGAATAGATTAAAATGCGACAATTTTCGTGAACGAACGTAACGTTGTCACAGGGGGAATTAATTAATTTCGGGGCGGGCCGCCCTCCGTGCCACGCGATTTGCACGTTAAATCGCGGCGCTCGCCATATCCGTCGTCGCCCTGCGCCCTACCGAACGTGACCGATTTACTCTCGGCGCGGCCCTGCGCGCGACACATTAAAGTTATTCACTTTAACTATTTTCAAGTTTCGAGGCGGCTGCCGGGTCCCTTCCCGGGTGTACCAGTCCGCGCTGCGTTCCTCTGAATGCACCCGTAACGATCCCTTTTCGTGACCGACAGGGGCAGGGGCGCCGACAACCCCCCACGTATCCGCGTCGTTTCCGACTTCCGGCGCGCCGCGCGGATTTCGCGATGCACACCACCGTCGCGAACTTTCGTAACATCGACGGAAATAAAACAAGCCTGAGTTCGCGATCGTTTGGGAGAGTAGTAGATTTAAGCGCGCCGAATTTCAGAAGATCCGAACGAATCACGATGCAACTAGAAAATACATAGAACTTAAATAATTATTTTGTGGTGACGTGAAAAAAAAACGATTTTAGCCTGATTGCTTTTCGTATTTTTAAAACAGAATTAATTATAATAGAATATCATGAACGATGTCCTAATATAACTATTGCAAATTGATTTATTTCTGGTACATTC